GGAGACAGACAGGGTCACGCGCTAGTCGGCCTCCCACCTGTGTCCACCTGCTGGGCGAGTGCCAAGCGTGGTTTCTCCACTGGTGGCGGCAGCAGACGCCCCACCTCCGGCCGAGCACCCAGGTGGAGGCCCTCGGCTCACCAGTCCCTGCGGGTACCTACGCTGGGTCTGCACCCAGAAACAGTCCCAGGATGGGAGTGGCCACCCGGGGACAGAAGGCACACTGTGACTTATTTGAACAGGGGACGTTTAATATAAAGAAGGAGCAGCTGTGCTTGGAATCAGGTCTTTCAGAAAACCCTGAGTCGGGACAGTGCTGGTAAGGAAAGCCCTGGAAGGGAGCCCCTCCCGAGCGGGGACTCCCCGAAGGCACGGCGAGGCCTGGGACGGCGCGCTCTGAGCCAGAGTCACACAGGGTCACCTTCCACAGGCAGGCGGCCGAGGCTGGTGGGTGACCTCCCCGGAGCCGGGCACAGGGAGCCCGTGGCCTTAGTTCAGAAAGGCCTCAGCTGGGCTGGCTGGTCCTCCCGAGGGGGGACTCCCCGAAGGCACGGTGAGGCCTGGGACGGCGCTCTGAGCCAGAGTCACACAGGGTCAGCAGCAGGCAGGACACACCTTCCACAGGCAGGCGGGCGAGGCTGGTGGGTGACCTCCCCGGAGCCGGGCACAGGGAGCCCGTGGCCTTAGTTCAGAAAGGCCTCAGCTGGGCTGGCTGGTCCTGCACAGGCGGTACCCCTGGGGTCCCCATGCCACACCCCTGGCAGCTGTGCAGCAGGAGCAAAAGGAGACCCACCAGACGCCCTGGCTCTGCGGCGTCCCTCGGGCCCTCCGCTGACCAGTTACCAGTGTGCAGGCAGCGAAGGAGGGCTGTCCCCAGGGCCTGCCCTCGGCCACAGAGCGGATGTGAGGTGGGTGTGGGCAGCCTGCTCCGTGCAGCTCCTGGTCCCGCTTTTCTCTCGCAGGCGTCTGAGCCGCCCTCGCCTCGGGGACAAGATGGCCTGAAGGGCTTCAGCTGTGGGTTCGCCTGGGCAGAGCGGCAGCCTGGGCTCCTGGGCCCCTAGAAGACCCCGGGCAGCAGGCGGTAGGGCACGGCGGCGGTGTAGCGCTGCCAGTCGCGGCCGTACTTGCTGGCACAGCGGTGCTCGTCCCGCAGGCAGCGGTGGGTGAGCAGGATGGTCATGTAGATGATGTAGAAGTAGGGCAGCAGGTGGCCGCCGCCGCAGGCCAGGCAGTAGGCCAGGCTGCCCATCAGGTCGCCCGTGTAGTTGAAGTGGCGGGCCACGCCCCAGAAGCCCGACACCAGCAGCTTGCTGCGGTGCTGCTGCCCGTCTGCCGACGTGTACACGCACTCGATGGCCTTGGGCTTCCGGCCCCAGATGAGGCAGCGCCCGTCCGTCCGGCGGAACAGGTCCTTCTGATGGTTGGCCATCCGGAAAATGTAGTAGCCCAGCAAGCCCAGCAGCAGGACAGCCACGGCGTGGTGGGTGGACAGCTGCACGGGGTGGTAGACCAGGTACAGGCCCTGCGGGGGCCAGAGGGACAGGTGAGCCACGCCTCCCAGACACGGGCAGGTACAGGCCTCGGGATGGCCCTGGTCCTGCACTGACCTGGACACAGCACCTACCCAGAGGGCTGTGCTGGCCTCAAGCCACTAATCAAGGCCCAGTCCCGGAGGAGGACGGCGCTCCCACAGTTTAGCACCTGGAAATGGAGCCAGTCCCAGAGCCAGCGAGCCCGCGGCCAGCCAAGTGGAGGAGCAGGCCCTGGCGGGCTGCCAGGCCCTGGCAGACCTGCAGTCACCACGATGCCAGGGCCTTTACCCTCACCGCACCCTCTGCCAGGAGCAGCTATTTCCTCGGGGCCTGGCACGGGCAGTAGGCCACCCAGCCACCTGCCATCACTGCCCTGTGACTGGTTTGACACCACCTCCC